TAGTTCTTCTATCCCCCACTCCCCTCTGGGACCAGAAAGCCAGGTAACACCAAACAGACCCTAGGGCAAATTTGTGAGGTCTGAATATGTCCAATAAGACTGTATAATTAGTGATGGCTAGAAAATAATATTTAGAGATTTGTGTTAGGAATTGGCTTGTAGGTCCAGTAGATATGCATTAGAACAATGGTTCAGGGGAACGGCAAGGGTTAATTGGTTTCTAAAAGCCTGTTTGTGACAAAGTTTCATTGCCTCAGCCTTCAAAGCCCACTGTGTCTGGACCTTGCAGACAAACAGGCTGGGGAAATGTAAACCATGTATCACTGTTTCCTGAAACCCCATAACAGAGATAAGGTGGCATTAGGTCACAGTGACCAGCTTCAGAATCCCTGGGATTTCTGGTTTCGGTGTACACACCAAATTAGGAGGCCAGACATGCCCAAATTAAGACACTGGTAAATGACCAAAGTAAGATATATGGATGTGATGGGTTTCTTGGAACAAAGGAATATTCTGACAGAATAGAACATGGACCCTATGACGACCACAGGGAGATGGGAGGTGGGCCTCTGCCCTTGACCTCCAAGGCTGCTGACATCAGACATTCAAGAAACAACCTGAGGGTGATGCTCATGTACTGACCAGGCATACCTTTCTGCTGTAAACCTTAGGATTAGTAGATATCAGGTTTGGGGGGGAGTGGGGGGAGAAGAGGGCATGTATTTTGTTTGCCTTGCCTGCATTACTCTTATCTGCTGTCACTAAGTATCAATAACATTTGCCTATTATCAAATGGAAGAAGTCATGGTCAGTCTAAGGGTTTGGGTTCTATCTGGGTCATAAATCTAGTGCCTATAGTTAGTGCTTATCTTTCTTTGTCATTGGAGTTTCAAATAAAAGTCAGCACCAAAGGCAGAAGCTGCCTTGTCTATCTTTGCTGGTATATTCCTGACCTTGTTTTGTCTTAAAAGAAACAGGATCACATTACAAAAGTAGCACCTGCAGCAGCTCTAGCCCATCTTAACTAATTTGTTGTCTTTTCACTACAAGGGGATAGTTATTATCTTTAATTTTACTTGAAAGGTTTTCAGACACAGGTGCAGAGGGGGAAAGGATAGACCAATGGAGTTGCTAATTTAAAAAAAAAGTAATGTCAAAAGTGAAAGCTGTATATAAGGTGAATCTCTACTCTACCAACTGCCAAATTAAATAATTACATTTCAAATACTTTAGCTATTTTTATTCCATGTCTTTATTAAAAGGTTAAAATAAATATTCTTAATGATGACGTGATACTCTGGGACTAGGCAGGCTGAAGTCTCTGTACTCAAAAGGTTGAACCTATGGTCACAGAAAGAAAAGAGACTAGAAGGGACCTCATGATATCATCTAGTTCAGACCCCTGGTTAAGGTAGGCTCATTCATGGCAGGATCATTCCTGCCACCCAAATCACCCTACTCAACGGTACATCTAACCTGCTCTTGAAAATTTCCAGGGATGGTGATTATTGCAAATTCTCTAGGTAATCTATTCAGTGCTTGACTACTTTCAGAGTCAAAAAGTTCTTCATAATTTCTGGTCTAAATTTCTTCTGCTGCTGACTGAGGCCATTTGTCCTACTCCTGATGTCCATGGAGACAAAGAATAGTCTGCTTCTATCCTCTTTAGAATCACCCTTCAGGTGTGGGAAGATTTATCAAATCCTGCTTCAGTCTTCTCCTGCCCAAACTAAATAATTCAATTCCCTTTAGTCTTTCCCTGTAAATCATGTTTCCTAGGCCTTTATATTAACTTCATTCCATATTCACCTCCCCATATCTGCTTCTTTTCTTCTACCACTAATCCCTTCTATCTAACTTTCACCCCTTCTCTTCCTTCAAAATATAAAAGTGGAACTCTCATGATGCTCT